GGCTCCGCGAAGAGTGCCAACGAAGGACCGTACCATCAGAGGCTCATTACCAGAGATAACACCCAGGTGCGATTTGAAGTAAATCAAATGCTGAGTGAGTGAACCCTTCCCATCAAACGGCGTGAAGTTGATCAGATTGAACTTCGCCGGATAGAGGATCGATTCCCATTCTCGTGGGTATGGATAAGGAATGCCCGTCTTCTTAATCTCTTGAGCGGAAATCAATGTATTGATTTTGCTCTCGAGGTTTTTGATCTTCAAGTTTTCACTTGTATCTTCGTCAGCATTCTCGTTACCACCCCCTGCATTGACGGGAGGAGCATTGGCGTTATGAGTTTCATTCGCACCTGTGTCCTCATCTTCCAGATTAATCTGGTTGCGATGACTTTGCTCGCCTCGCTGGTTTGTCAGCGCTTGGATTTGCTGGTCATGCATTTCTCTCATACTCTGCATGGCCATCTGCATTTCGTGCTTGAAGCTCTCTTGCTGTTTAGCCATGGCTTCCTCGAGCATTTTGGCCACTTGTTCCGCGCTTATCATCAGTGATTCGCGGGGTTGCCCTTCACTGGAGACTGTATTATCCGATGCAACCGCAGAGCAGGCATCCGATTCTTCATCTTCGGAAGGTAATCTTGTCCGAACCCTACCATAAGTTCCTCGCTTGATGGCTCCGGAATGTAGACGGGTTACACGACGGGACGCTTCCAGAAACGACTTGAGATTAACCTGTGTCGATGTCTCCTTGCTGGTCATATTAGTGGTGACCTTCGGGAATTCTCCGTCTTCAATCACCGTTCTCCTTCGTCGGAAACGCCTAAGCCTTGCTTTCAGCGTTTCGGTACTGAGCCGTTCGAAAACTAAAACTCTTTTGGGGACCGCCCTAATGCAGCTGTACTCAGACAATACCGCCCGAATGAGCTTGGAACAGGGGCATTGAGTTTCTAATCCTCGAGGACTCCTCTTTCTGGTTTTATTCGTACCCCCAGCACGATAGTACAACTCGTCTGCTTGACGATCGGAGTAACCTATCGTGTGTTGGCACGACTTCTCAGGTATAACACTATCGTCATCAGACGATAATGTTTCCTTCTGAGGGGGAATTGCTTTCTTAGGGCTTTCGAAAGTCACGCGCCTCGAAACATGCCTTTTTGGGCGTGAATTGTCAGCGGGCTCCTGGACTTCAATGCGCAAGTTGGTGCGCATGACTGCCCTGGTCTCTTTGTCATGTTGGAGGTGACGGCGACCCCCAGCATGTGCTGAGGTTGCAATTGGAAAGTTTGATTAGCATCAACTGCATTAGCATGTGCCTTACCTTTCCCCCGTGGGACGAAATTCTGTTGTGGAGCATTATTCGCCTGTTGGCCTCTTTCCGCCTTCTTCCTTCTGAGGAACCGCTCGGCTTGCTCTCCTCGGACCTTCAAATCCTTCCATGTTTTGGACGGTGCTGTCCCCATTGCTTCCAACACGTCCAGTGCGAGGTTGTTGTGGCAAGTCTGGAGAATAAACTCCTCAGTGATCGGGTCCCGACAGTTCATCGCCTTGTTTCGGAACCTCTTGACGAAGGTATCGACTAGCTCCCCGTCCTTTTGTTTCTCATCGAGCAACGTTCCGATGGATATCTCGGTGTCGTCGTCGAAGAAGTTAGCGAGGAATTTGGTCTCCATGTCATCCCAGCTATTCACGCTTCTTGGTTTGAGGCGGCGATACCAATCGAAAGCGGTTCCGCGAAGAGTGCCAATGAAGGACCGTACCATCAGAGGCTCATTACCAGAGATAACACCCAGGTGCGATTTGAAGTAAATCAAATGCTGAGTGAGTGAACCCTTCCCATTAAACGG